CAAATGGATGCGCGTGCGAAACAAACGCAAAATCTGAGACAAACACGTACAAAATTCCATGGGGTTGTCGTAAGGGGTGTGGCTTATTTGCAAACGGCGATAGGTCAATTGTATTAGTGTAATAAAACAGTGATATTAATTGATGAAACATTTAGAATTCAGCTGAACACTTTAACTTAGGCACTGCAGTACTTCTATGACGTATGATATAAAAAACTAATGAATAGATAATAAATGAATAAATTTGGAACAAAAAGTTATGTTCCTTGTTTTGAACATTAAAAAACACAAGAGACTTTGACAAAATGTTGGTTAACGTGACCTTGATCGTGTAAAGAATGTAGTATCCAGACGCAACTTCAAAGTCTATGGATAATCGAATGCATTTTCGAAGTATTTTCCAACAAAACTGGAAATGTTTCTCAGTCCCAGCTTCATCATATCTAAACATGTTTGCAATAATACTGACCTGAGATAAGGATGAAAAAAAGTTGCGTCAGGATGCAACATTCTTTACGACCTTTATAATTATGTAATCACGTGGATAATCACATGACGTAAATATTTTTAAACATTATTATATTTGATGTATCCAGAGGGCCAGTACCTGCACTCCATACAACCCGAGGACAGACAAAGGGAGAACAACAGATTCTTTGTTGCTCTCAAGCGTTCATCTTTTGTTGAAAACGGTCCTCGATCGTGCGTTTGTGTGCTTAGTCTATGGGAGAGTTTAATAGTACAGGGACAAGGGGAAACACAATGCCTTGTCCTCGAGAGTTATGTAAAGTACGACTTTGTGCGTATGTCCTGTATCTTTGTATCTATCTGACTGACTGACTGACGGACGGACTGACTGTCAGACGGTCACTCGTGATAACAACCTGCCAGTGGTTTTGTTGCCAGGTGAAGAGCCGAGCAGTTCTTTCGTATAGGAGTACCCCGTAACGCCAATGAATGAGCTAGACCCCGCCCATTGTGCCAGATTCGTGAAATGACTTCCAGTGGATAGCCATCCTGAACAAATGAATATAAGTTTGTGCACTCTGCATTTGGCCCCTGCTGAAGCACTTTTGGCTTGCAGTTTTCTTGTGGGTGCACTCCTGTAAATAGGCCTCAACCCATCCGCCGAGCTCATGAATAAAAGTTATGCCCTCAAAATAGTATATATATTAGAGAGTTCTGAGAGCCATAACATCAGGGAATTGAAGAGATATGGTAATGAACCTCTGACCCGGACTCGGGGCTTCCAATTCTGAGCATTTTGGAAACAATTGGGCTCGAAAGTGGCGTTTTGCCATGTTGTGGAGAGATCGTTTTTCAAGATGGCTACCGTTCCGCTTTGGGGAAAATTGGGGTCGTTTTCTTTGGGCGAGAATTTCTCGAAAAGTTAATGGTCAACCCACCAAAATATGAAAAGAAATTGAAAGATGACATGTTGATCATCATTTTTCTGTGCTGTTTAAATACCTGTGAGAGTTGCGAGTATTTTAAAAAGAATTTTGAAGTATGGGCATTTAGCACTAGTGTCTATGGGAATTTTTTGCACTGTTGCACCCTTGTTTTGCCGTTATTTGCTCCTAGTATTTCATGTACAGCGCCCTCTTGAGGTTACCGTCTTCGAGAATGTTAATGGTCAACAGAGGGCGCTGCGTCATGGAGGTAGGTCGATGTTATTTCTTAAGGGTGCAGACCAGTAAATCGGTCCGAAATTGCCTGTGCCGGCCAAATCGCGATTTGCATGGCCTCAAAATCTTCGGTATTTGAGCATGCTGTGGGCCATGAACTTGAGGGTTTGTAAAAGATATGGGTGGAAGCCGTGCACAGGAGTGGGAGCTTGCAGTTCTGTGTAATTTGGATGTAATTTGGACCCTAAAAGCGCTCTATTTTGCAATGGAGTGTAGGCATCGTTTTTCAAAATGGCGATGGGCTTCAGGACTATTTTCAGGGGTGGTCGTCTTCAGATGGAAATTTCTCCTAAAAGTCATCAGTTGACCCCCCGTAAATTGAACAGAAAATGAAAGATGATGAAATAAGCTTTAATTTGATGTGTGTCTCGAACACCTTGGAGAGTTGTGAGTATTTTTCCCGAATTTTTTAAGTGGGAGCATTTACCATTGGGGTCTATGGAAGTTTATTTACTGGTCTGCTACCTATAATTTCAAAATGGCGCCTTCCATCGTTTGTTGTCAACATGTTTGCGCAGACGCTTTACATTCCACGACAGTGTTTTTTTTTTAAGGGGGGCGGAACCTGGGGGGGGGGGGGCAGCGTTTCAAAAGGGGTCAGCAATGGCGGTTCCGCAACAAATGCGCCCAAAATCCGAATGGGGCCGATGGACCGTCGTCCGATCACAGCAATTTCGAGCGAACAAGGGGGGGGGGGGGTATTTGGGGTCGGAAGGAGCAAAAACTCAATTAACTCCCGTTGGGGGCGCCCTACAGGAAGGTAGCCGCAATCAGAGGGCTTGTTTTCAGGCCAGAAATCGCAGTCAGAGATTTTTTTTCTCTTGCCGTACAAGTGGTTTGGGGAATTTTTTCAAAACCTCGCTTCTTTATAATGCCACAGGTCGAACAGAACGATCCGAACAAAGATAGATTCTATATCGCTTGAGGGCGCTGTTCTTTTCGCACGTACTATTAAACTTGCAAAAGTGCTTTGAGAAGTGCAATCCACACGTAGATATTTCCACGCTTGGTCGGCAGACAGCACATTTTGCCAACCACGGGTTGCAAAACTTTGGAAGGTCCAACGCTGCAAAAATGAAGAAGAGTTATAACAGATGACCAAATTATTATTTGATATATTATAGTCTTTCTTTAGCCATGTGTTCAACTGTCTTCCATGCGCAAATAGCTGCAAACATCATTTTCAAAAATGCGGGGGGGGGGGGGGTGTTATTGTAAGAAAATTTACACGAGGTCTAACATTGCTGATTTACATTAGACATTTGAATATGCAGTAGATTATCCTGAATGTCAGGACATGTTTTTAGTGCTGCATATGCAGATTGCATTATGCATATGTTTAATAATTAGTTTCGGCCATATCGGAATTTACAATGTGTTTGTGAGTGAAATTATATTGGAATGGACAATGACACTCCATTCGTCTAGACTACCCGATTCAAAAGGTTTATATATATTTAAATGTATTTTCATTGAAACTTTTCAATGAAACAATAACTCTTAATACGGGCGATTCCCAATAATGCGCCTCCAAGAGTTTGCAGCGCGTTGGCCAATCACAATGCGCGAAATCAGTCGACCTTTTCCAAACGGGCGTTGGGTCAACAGATTTTGCGCATTGTGATTGGCCAACGCGTTGCAAACTCTTGGAGGCGCACTATTGGGAATCGCCCGTATTGGGGCGATTCACAATGTAGTGCGCCACCAAGAGTTTGCCACGGAGAGTTCATTTTTTCCCCAGAGCATTGTGGGAGATGGTCGACAAATTCGCAGCGCGGGACATTTGAAATTGTTTGTTTTTCCGGCCAGAAAGTTCGTAAGCGTATGGTTCGTAAGCGTTTGCCCTTTTCTTTTCGTTTTATCAATATGGAGATTTTTTTTGTAAGGCGGCAGAACGCTTTGCCCCAATCTATAACATATTAGCTCAAGTTTTCTACCGACACTCGTTCAAATGGGCCATGTTTTGTCGACCGTGACCTTGAAGAACGAACTCTCCGTGGCAAACTATTGGTGGTGCACTACATTGTGAATAGCCCGAATTATATAAACAAATTGTTCATTATTGCTCCCATTGCCGCTAGTTTGTTTTCTAACTACTTGTAATTTGGTTACTCATCAGTGGTATACGTTTGTACACTGCAAAAACTGTAGTGTTAATTTAACACCATTCGGTATCTATATAGGATAACACCAGTAAAATTTAACACCAGATGGTCCTACATAGATACCAATGGTGTAAATTTAACACTGCAGTTTTTGCAGTGTATGAAAGACAAAACGTTTAAAGAAATGTTAAAAGCAATAAACTGTGAAAGCCAGTTTGTTGTATTTTGCCTGATTCGTATATATATCAAACAAGTAGCGCGGATTATATATTCAAAACACATCACACACAATTTGGTTAAGAATACAGCGTCGTTTGAAATATTGCGTTTTTTCCACCAACTTAGCCTAAACTTCACTCCATTTGTCATATCATCAGAGGGTTAATTTAAGTTAAACGGCGTATAGGGTTAAACTTTTTGGGGAAGGGGGCAACTGGGGGCTATTTCAGTGATACATGTATATTAACAATTATAAAGGGGGGGGGGGGGGCTGAGCCCCCATCCCCCTTTAATGCCACTTATTTCATTGCGTACTTCGAATGACAATTTTGCTGGCACTCAGAAAAATACAAAACACTATACACACACACACACAAGATACAAAGAGAGGGCGCCCACCCCCGACAATTTTAAAGGTGATGTACAGCACGTGACTGGGGCCGTTTTTCAAACTCAGGCTTCGTCTCAATCTGTGGCCTTCATCCATGCAGTTTGGCAATGGGGCTGGAGCCGAGGCTGAAGCCGGATATGGATCCGAAACCGGGGTTTGAAAAACGGCACTCAGCTTGTGCGCGAACGATCTCCTTCGTGGGGTATACACTGGCTATCAGTCCCTCCATCGAAGATGCTCATTTCGTATGGGAGCGGTAACCATGCAGTAATTAGGTCTACAACGGTACCGCTCCCGAAATCAGAAACGATAACGGAGGGACTAGGACCAAGTCTATACAAAAACTACTAACATGCTACAACCAGAAGTGATAACCGACTTTAGTCTTTATGTTGTTATGCGTTGGCACCTTGAAAATGTCGCGTAACTAATTCAACAGCGCCCTCATACGTTCAAAGATATGGCCATTCCTAATGAGCAATATTTTTGCGCGCCTTTCTTGTGACGTCACATATGCAAAATAAGTCCTGTTCATTCGACCATCTGTACGATTAGCCCGCGCAATTTCCTAGTAACAAGGTTTTTTTTCAGCACGTATAGCGTCCACATCAACGAAGCTTGTCCACGCATGTTTTGCACGAGATGTTTTGAGGATGTATCACCTCGAAAAATTGCACCTACATTTTTGAAATTCTCGCCAAGAATGGACCGGATCGACAAGTGGTTTTCCGGGAAAGGTATGCCGCTAGGCCCACTTGTATACCTTTCGATTTTGACAGTGAGTTGCCTGCACTTCGTCGCTGTTGGAGGACAGATTTCATCAACATCCCCTTTAATGCAGTCCGTGGATGCGTCGAATTACAGGTAATATTGATATTGCTCATTAAATTTTAGAAAGTTGTAAATTTCATTCACTGTCTATTTTGTTTTACCTTGTATACGGCACCTTAAAAAAATAATTAAAATTGAAAACTCTTCATTTTAAGTGAATACAGGATGAGTAATAAAATAAAAATACGAAACCCAAATGACAGGACCAATTTTTGAATGATGTTTTGCCTGTAGCATCTAAGATATGTAAGCCCAATCAGTGAGCTTTTTTGTACAAGAATCATTAAAAGCACTCATGTACTTTTCAAGTTACGGAATTTTGAGCACAACCACCGTTTTAAAGTTCTGTCCACGGATCACCAAAAAAGTAAGTGTTCTTTCAGCAAAACGAAAAGCATTTCACATACTCGCCCTTAATATGTTTGTTTGTTTGTTTGTTTTAATTTCCATTCATATAAAATCAAGAAAGAATACACAAAATGATACAATAACAAAATTAATTATACTAATACTATATCTGGAGCAAAATAGTTATATGAATGGAGGTGCCATCCGAGAGAAGAACAAAGCCTTCTGTAAAGGAGCACCCTAGACTGCTGTCAATTTACAAAAATATATGCGTGTAATTATACAATCTATTTCGGTTGCATAAATTAAATTGAATGTTCATTTCCGGGATTGATAAATACAAAGTATAGGATCTTTAGCAATAAACCCTAATTCATAAAAACCTAAGACAGGTTACGCATTCCTATTGGAATGCGTAAACATTTGAATATCATCGTTAAAATAGATGAGGCAACGTCTGTGACCTGAATATTTGTTCTAATGTGAAAATAATGAGGGTCGTGGGAAATATATGTCATCGTAAAAGCCCCCACCCCCCCTTCATACTCCTAATAAATATGACGAACTAATTTTATTCTTCACCTATCCCCTTAGGGGCTCCGTATAGCAATTTAGAACTCAATTATCGACGTTTACGACGGTGTTAAGTGCTTGATTTCCATACGAGCAGTCGAAAGTTGGAATAAAAAAGCAACGTACGTTTCAGTGCAGTCATTAAATCGTCTCTGATAACATGCTGGTCGAGGCATGTCAATATTGAAGAAAGGAGAACAATTTTGAGCATGAAGGAAAAACTACCCTTGCACCGTTTTGTAGAAAACTCCTTGTGGAGTCATTTCTTTGTTGCCGTGTACTAAAAAAATTGAGTTGAAAATCTAGTTTCAAAATGCTCCTATTGTGACCAGAATTAATTTCCTTGGCTAAAAATCGGATTTAATATATGCCTTACATAAAATACTTCAATTTGCGACATATACCTTGGAAATTTCTAGTTTTTTTAGTACAATCCATATATCTTTTTCGTGATAATCTTGTGGAGACGTATTCATCTAAAGAAATTGCCCTGTGGAGACGTATACAATCTTTTGTTCCCCATTATAATCATGTCTCCACAGGGTACCATGTACCCATGATGACATTACCATGTTAACACTACAGAACTACGATGGAATAATTATGCGACCCAACCCGACGGAATGGCAGAAAGCCAGATACATTTTTGTCTAATTGCCCCTATTCAATACATTATGAAAATCAATAGCAACATATTTTAAAGCCATGTAAAATGTATACATCTGTTTAGATATCGAACTGATATATTAACATGAAAAGCACACAGATGGTTCCCCTCCAAACCGCAAGCTACAAATTACCTTGGGACTCATTTCGTAAGATCTGGTCACAAAATCACTTGCATCCTACATTATAATTTAACATAGGCCTAATGAGCTCGTTAAATGCAACCTTGTGGGTTGAGGTTCCATGCCATGGTAACCATGATTCCCGGAAGTTCACCGAAACTTGTCGGCTGCGATGCTGCATCCCATTCATCTCCGCTGTCATGCTATAATGTTCCCTCACGAGTGTTTATCTATACAGGGTGGATAAAAAAAGAAAGTGACCAAATGACAAAACGATATTTTAAAATATGTGGCTAGCTCCATTTAATAAAAAATAACATAAGAATAAAGCTAGAAATTAGCTTGTCAGTGATTAGACCGGTTCTCAAGGGTGTCTCCCCCCCCCCCCCAAAAAAATATAGGATTGATGAGTCCATGCACTTTTCTTTCTGGTGTGAAGTTTTTATTGGATTCCGTTCAGTGGTTTTGAAACAAAGGCCATTAATTAACACTGGTCTATTTTGCTCCATTCCAAGTTTGACAATTTTTCATCGGATTCGGTGAACCGTTTTTCCAAATGAAGGCTAGGGGGGGGGGGGGGCTATATTGTATACAACGGACTATTTAACACCATTTCAAGTTTGACGTTTAGCTTCAATTGGCGTTTTGATTAAATAACTAAATTAAACCGGAGGAATACTATTGTTGACATTTCTCATTGTTGACTGCGGCTAGTTGTTATGTACATAATTATTGGTAGTCCGTCGTGTCTGACGATGACGTTTGTCTATGTGCCTCTCATTTGGTAGTGGTATGGACTCTCATAATGACTGTGGAGTCCCATACATAATAGTATCTTCTTTAATTATAACGAAGGATTGTCTCAAACACCTGTTGTAACAGTTCAAAATGATCCAGGCAGGGGCGAGCCTGAGAAAACAGACACATTGTGTACGATATGAATTTGATAAGACCGAAATTGTGAAATTTGAAATGTAGCAAAATGGACTTACATTAATGGCTTTGCTTCAAAACCATATTGCATGAGTTCTCATAGCATGGATAAATTTCAGTTATCTTTTTTTTTTCCAAATGAGCGCATGAACATGCTCGTTTAACATATGCTTTTCTGGTGTGTCAAATTAAATTGCTTTTGAAGGAACAAATATTTTTAACTCGCCCTGTGCTGATTTGAATTCCCTGAAGTCAATCTAAATTAATTGGTTTTGTCGTTTCAGCGTGCAGAGTGCTTTCAGCATCGAAGACGTTCTAGCCCAGTATTCAGGCCAGTCGACGCGCCCGAATGAGAAAACTGGTATTTACGATCTAATTCAGATTCGTCTGCATTATGTGTTTGAAGTTCTGATTTTTTTCTTTCATGTTTATTCTGACTCGTCAATTGCATGATCCATGGTGATCCTCTTTCCTGACATGTCAGGGCTGTCTTTCCTCTGTCTTTGTGGTTCCGTGTTCAGCATCACCCTAGATATTTCCCTGCATCCTTACTCCTACACTCAACCAAAAAAGAAAAGTCCCCCGCCTTCCAATACTTTTCTGTCTAACTCAAAAACTACTAAGCACCTCTCACTCAAATAACAACTAATTCCTTAGCAATCCAACCATACTCTTTATTTGGCCCAAAACAGCGATAATGTGTAGGAATGTATGCAATTTATGACAGATGATACCGAAAACAGTTGCACTTTTGTATACGTGCAAGTTGTGGTTCACACTCACCTTGCTTTTTTTTGATACCATTTGTCATAAATTGCATAATTTTGTACACATTATCACTGTTTGGGCCAAACAAAGAGTGTGGCTGGATTGCTAAGGAATTTCTGTACTGATCAGTCGTAATTTGAGCAAGATGTGCCCAGTAGTTTTTGAGTTAGACAAAAAGTATTAAAGGGGTACTTTCTTTTTTGTTTGAGTGTACTTTGTATACAGGGTGACACCCCCCCCCCCCCAAAAAAATGCAATCCTAAAACATTTGCCTTTAAAAAAAAAAGGAAGTGGTGGATTTTATGTTTAAGGTATCAGACTAAAAGCTGAGAGCTTTTTCTTTCAAATACTGAAGAAAAAAATCATGAAAATTGCACTTTGGGTTGCCGAGAAAAAGTTGTTATTTTCCATCCTGTAAGAGATTTTCACTGTATACCTATTTTTGCATGTCCTAATCCTTACAAACAACACAGCACATAATGTGACAAGAGTACAACTCCATTTGATAGAAATACCTTTTATTTTCCTCCTGACCAGGTATCTCATCCTTTTTAGTCCTATTTTCAACCTTTTCAGCATCATAAATATGTCAAAATATTAAAGAAATTGCACAAATGAAGGGTAACTGCACAGTAGGCTTACAGTAAAAATGTTTCAGTTTGAAGTGCTTATGTACAGGATGAAAAATGACTACTTTTACATAATTGAAATTTACTTAGCAACCCAAAGTGCTATTTTCATGATTTTTTCAGTACTTGGAAGAAAAATCTCTCAGCTTTTATCTGATATCCAAAACGTAAAAATCCACCGATCCCTGTTTTTTTTTCAAAGGCAAATGTTGGGGTTATCCTGTACAGTTCCAACATAATTTTTCCCTTGGGAAAGATTGTGCTCGTATCTAATTCGTATCCAACATTTTCTTAATAATGTCCCAAACTTTGTTTTTTTCCTTCATTCGATTTCTTGATGAAATAAAGAAAACATTAATTTTGTGTTCTGTTTATATAGCTATAGGTTTCTTGTGGTCAAACATCGTCCAGTTTGTACAGCTAATCAAAGGAGTTGTTCAGAACGTGTAGTTCATGCCCAATGTGGCACTTGTTTTCCCCACCTATTAAAATAATTAATTGACCTGTCAAAGGTGGATCCACAGTCACTAAATAACGGGTACTAAGGCCAAAAAAAAAAAAAAGTCTCCGGTTTCTGGTATGCGCGCGCGTCGCCGTAGCCATGCGCGTCGGCAAAATGAAAACGTTTTTTTTTCAATGAAAGATGATGTCTCAAAACCGCCAAACTCACTGGTTTGACTGGAATCCTGCTGCTGCAACAATTTTAACGTTTTTTTTTTTAATGGGGTTATGATCGAGAATAAGCTTTATGTGGCCTCTCTGGTCTCCCATAATATTTGCACTAAGTTTAGTCGGGCACCATTTGCAGTCATCAGCCGACATTTGAAGCAAAAAAAAACAGGTAAAAAAAAAAAGCCGCGTCGCCGCACCACTTTGTGGGCAAGCTCCATACCAGAAACCGGAGACTTTTTTTTGGCCTAATGGGCACTGACGGCGCTTGTATCCTTCACCAATTATAATGACTGGTTTAATTTCTTTCTCTTATAATAAAGGCCGTCCCGACGATGTTTACTGCGCCTTGAAAGTGATTAACCTTGACGCTGTAGACGAAACAAAAATGGTATGGAAAATTCATCCATTAATTTATTTATGGCACGTATATACGTAGTTGGTGATGTGACGCATGCTCTTATGTTTTGATCAAGGCAATTTCAAACCTCTTCTATCGCCATGGTCTATCACATTTAAGCAGACTCGCCGATAAATTATGCAGGACAACCGCATCTTGACCTCTAGATTTGGACCAATCTTCGGGCGCTTTCTATATCAGGTCTTCGGTCATTCACCCATTGCGGGGATAAAAAAAACCCTGTGTCACGCGCTCTGTCTCATGTTACGCGATATGCGCCCTGCTGTTTTTGTATTACAAAACACTGCATTCGAATTGACCAATCAAACCATTAGCCCTGATTTAAACTTGGGAATAAAATGAAGTCACGATTGGCTGGCGCGCGGCTTGCATATCTGCATGTTTAGACATATCAGACGTTATACAGGAGACTTGGCTCCGTGGATAACGGGTGATGCTCAATACTATATCAAACCATTAGTGTGGCGGAACGGGGGGACCTCAATTACACCCACCCACCCAAACAACACAATATTTGTATAGTATATTCGAAATACGCAGTGGATAGATCTGGAACGAGTCTAGGTCACCCCAACTCTCCTTTTCTGGCCGTTGATGGGGTACTTGTGCACGGACCCCATGACTCTGTAAAGTGTCAGTCATGTCATGTCACACCATGAAAAGGTCCCGGGTAAGATTTGACCCGTTATCCGGGTCCTATGGGGCCTGACACATTTCCGGGTCAAAATTACAAGTCCGGGTCATAACACTTTGCCGGGTTCAAATGACAGTTTTCCTGATTAAAATGACACTTTGGCCGGATCAACATGACATTGTTCCGGCTCAAAAATGACCCGGACAATTAGTCAAAGATGTTTAATTTTGAACTGGATCCATGTCAAATCTGAGTTGAGAACCCTAGATTTCGGGTCAAATCTGAGCAGGGACCTTTTAAGAGTGTGTACCACAACTCACGACGGTTCCTCTAGGAGTTCAGGATCACCGCTACCCTGGGCCTGGCGTGGGCGGACCCCCGTATCCAGAGCCTTCTCCCCGCCAACTCCGACACCATCTACTCCATCCGCGGCGCCGACATCGACCGGATCTGGCTGCCGGACCTGTACTTCCCGCTGATGAAGGATGGAGACTTCCACAAGATCACTTCGACTAATAGGTTGGCGAGGGTCAACAAGCAGGTATATCCTGGGGTGTTCTACAACATAAGGTAGGTGGCATTCGTCAACCCCGTTTGCTTGTGTTTCGTTGTAAGTCAGATGTGTCCGGGGCCCGAGGGGTATGAGCAGATGTAAATATTGTGTGCCACTCTCCGCTGGGGGCACACGCCCCCCCCCCAAATAAAAAGTCTGCGCCCCCAGTCGCCCCCCCCCCCCGAAAATTGGGCATCCGAGAAAAGCACAGCCATAGGAGTTACCATGATTAGCTGGAAGAACATAAAGTCCATTTTTTCCCCGCGATTGTGTGCGTATTTCAAAACTTGTTTTTCGTGAGTGGCTGTTTATTGTAACGCTCCTTGGAAAGCAAATAACCGTAGTTATTGTGTAACCATGGTCTAATGCAGCCATGGTCTATGTATCAACGTTTTGAATAGCGCCCCCATGGGAAGATGGTGTCCAGTCCCCCCCCCCCACTATTTAATTTTACGGAGGTCGGGTGTCCGGTAAAAAAGCCTGTCTACCTTTCAGCATTTTTTTGGGCGCCCCTCCATTGTAACCTCAAGCCCCCCACACGCCCCCTTAGGATGAGAACCCTGGCTACGCCACTGGTGCGCTTCCCTTCAGAACGGTAGTCCCATCTGAAGATCATCAGCCCCTGTTAACCTCGCATAACCACAAGATACTAACTCCACTTATCTGAGAACAACTTTACCAAAAGAAACCACTGTCCACGGAATCTACCCCTTCTCTGGGAGGACCCGGTCAACTTGATCAGTCAGTAAGCGGTCGATCCCTCCCCTTCACCTTCTGTTGCTTTTTTTGTCATGGCAGGTTGACTCTGACCCAGTCGTGCCACATGGAGCTCTCCAACTTTCCCTTCGACTCGCAGAAGTGTGACACCCACATTTCAACTTGTAGGTTGTAGGTTCCTCTTCATTTTATTTAAATATTTCGTTACATGCATCTTGAGTCTGCAAAGTGAATGAAATAGTTGAATTAGCAACTTTTCACCTAATGCCCAATTCATTGTTAGGTTTTGCCCCGTCATCTCCAATGTAATTTCCTAAAATACTGTGTACTCAGTGTCCCACAAGGGCTTAATTTCACAAGCCTACCCTTGTGGGACTCGAACCCACGACCTCCTGTCCATCACAAGTCCATCACAAGTCCATTCGCAAGTCCAGTCTCAAGTAATAGTGGATGAACAATAACAAAGGAATGACTTTGTCAAAGCTCGTTTAGATAGCTTGTGAGTTGAATTTGGACTGGAGGACTTGTGATGGACTAACTTGCAGGGACTTGTGATCGACACGACAACATGCCTATATACCACAACCCATCGCCAAACACTATGTTGCAATGTTTTCGTCAGTTGCCTATGACTATGGCGAGCTGAAGCTTCACTGGATGTATTCACAGCTCATTGAGACTGGGTCTGGTATCCAACTCAACCTGCCTCAGTTCAGCCAACCCACGGTCAAGGCTACCAACTTCACTGTGAAGGAAATCTACCAAGTGCAGGAGTCAGTGAAGGTCAACTTCAGTACGTATTGTTCTCAGTCTCACTTTCGACATTGAATTCCTTTACATTCTGTATTTTAAAGGATGGAAGAGATGAGATTCCCATCAGGTTAAACTCTTGGTCATAGTAATTTTTTTTTTAAAGTGACGTCGCAATAAAGGTAGGCACTGCGTACACCACCATCTTTTCCACCAAAATATTTGTTAAAGTGGTCAGAAATTGCCTCAGATCGCACAGCATCTAGAATCCAAAAACCCCACGCCATAATTTTTGGGATCCATTTTTGGGGGACCAAATTTTTTTGGCCCCCCCCTTAAAAAAAATGTTGTTCTGGATCCGCCCTTGACCGGTATTCCCCTCAGTAACATTCCGTCTTGAAACAAGACAGGTTTTCGTAATGAATTCTGACCGCAGAGATAAGTGGTTAAACACCTACCACATCTTAATACGTGAAACACCACACGTCTCTAAAAAAAAAAGGGAATAACAAGTCAGTTCAATCCAATCACAAATAGAAGGGGAAGAACAACCCTAAAGGAATGCTTTGTCAATAGCTCAACTTTACTTGGGACTGTGGGACTTGTGTTCGACTTCTGTTGGACTTGCGGTGACTGCAAATTTATTAACTACAGTGCTGTTTGGGATCCTCATTCTCACGTAGCCTACACCATTCTGAATTTCTCCATCTGCCTCCATCGGTTGGGAGGCTTCTTCGTCCTGACTGAAATGTTGACCTCCATCATCCTGAGCTTTCTCTCGTGGCTCAACTACTGGCTGGATCCGGACCAGGCGCCCGCCAGGATCTCGCTGGGGGTTACCACTGTGCTTGCGGCCATCACGCAGGCAAGCTACGCATCGAAAAGGGGACTGCCGGAGCTGTCCTATATCACGGTAGGTTTCCAAAATTGAGCTAGTTCGGTTTACATGTATTTTGATTTCTAGCAGCAGCTACTTACTAGTTTCCAGATGTTGTCCGTAGTTAAGTTCTGAAGAAGGCCTATTGAGTAGAATAAAAAAGATAACCAATTGACGACCTACGACCAACCAAACGACCGACAAATAACAGACCTATCAGACTAGATAACCCACCGACCAAGCCAGCCGATCAGATACATGGAAACAGATACATTGAAACCGACCGACCCAGCCAACCAGCCAGCAAGAAAGCAAGAGCAAGAGCCATTAACCATTAAACCAACAGAGCAACTGAACGACTGACGTGCCAAACGACCGGCAGATACCAAAAAAACCCCGACAAACCGACCAACTACCGGCCAACCAAACGACCGACCAGTTGTTCAACCGACCAACCAACCGAAAAGCTTTTAAACAGACCAGCCATCTAAGTTAACAACAACAAACAACTGAACAATCAACAGACTGACCAACAGTGAGGCAGACTGCTGACCAACCGACCGACCACCCAACCGACTGACAGTAGGACAACCAGCGGGACACCAACCTACCAGCTATATTTATACCATCTTTTGACACAGACTAACTGACCAGACCTGCCAACCGACCGGACCTGCCACTGACCTGCCAAAACTAGGTTAACCAGATGTGATCACCAACTTAGGATGGGGCATCTTGCATCATAGACGTGAGGCAGCCAGATTAATTTCAATGAAGACAATTTACATGGGGGAATCAGCTGTTCCAAAAAGCATTATCCAATCATGCACCAACAATGTCACGCAGGTCCACAACTGGCAACATGCTTCAGCTAAATCAACCCTATACATGGGAGGACAGATGCACGCAGACATTCGTTTCTATCCAGAACATGTATGGACTATAAAACAAGTTACCAGACTCTGTTGTTACATCGTCAAGTATCAAGGTCTTCAAAGACAGAGTCATAGAATTCATCAGACAAAGAGACCTCAGAGTACAACATAATACTATACATATACATCTTATGACCACTCCGATCTCCCTCGTGGCTTTATGGATTATACAGGATCTGTTGCCACGTGCTGAATCAAGATCAAGATTCAACCCTCCGGATTGACGATCGACCATCAACTATTAGAATCCGTGCACGCAGTCACTGTACGTTCACAAATGACCCCTTCTACCGTTCAAAGCAACTGCCCCGTGACGAATTATCTGAACAAAAAAAGGTGGCACAGTACAATGTTTTTGCCATTGAAGGGGCATCCAGTGCTAGCGTGCTCGGTTTTAATAGTGAGTCCCTTTCACTATCATCTTGACAACTAGTCCTGTACCTCTATTTGAGATTTCAGGCTTTGGATGTCTGGCTAACCGCGAACATGAACGTGACCATCATCGGCCTAGCCGAGTACGGCTTAGTTCACGTTCTGGCCGTCCGTGCCAGAAGACTAGAGGAGAGGCTGGAACGTTTGACAAAGGACAAGTACAAGCAACGCATGGCAGGCCAACCTCCACAAGATGAGGAGGTGAGTCTTCACACTTGTCGTACCGTAATGTCTCTTCAGGGAAATAGTTGAATTTTTCCCACCGAATGCTTAATTCCCTTGTTAATTTGACTTAAATGATAAAAGGTAGGTTTTAGGGCAGTGTGGCCTAGTGGTTAGGGTTCGTGACTCGTGATCAGAGGGTCGAGGGTTCAAATCCAGCTGCTGCATGACCATTATGCTGTGTCCCTAGGCAAACCTCTTGTCCTCTTCACTTGCCTCTCTCTCTACCCAGAAGTTTGGGCACCGGCATTAGCTGGGGAGTAACCTGCGATGGACCGGCATCCCATTAAGGGGCGAATACAAATATTCTCGGTCCAGTTTCTTCTCAAGGAAACTGGGAAACGCCGGCTGGATGGGCCGTACCCGTATTTGCTCGTGACATTGCGGGTACACCTTGGATCTTATCTCTTCTGTCTTCTGTGAAGAAGTGTGGTTCTGAAAAGAGGCGGATGTGTTCGCCACGTTTCTGACAGCGCACTCTTTCTGTTTATATCAGGAGAGTGCCAGACATCACTTGATGCTTGGGTGCTAAAGCTGAGAAAAAAAATCCCACCTCTCGTTTTTTTTTCAGAACCACACTTATTCGCAGACTGAGATATCTGCATTAACTGCAAAAAAGGGGCCTCGTAGCCGAGCAGTTAGAGCGTGGAGCTAAGGTGTGGAAGGTTGGCGGTGCGAATCCCATTCGGACTAAAAACTGGAAGTGTTTCTCTGCAACCCAACAGTTAAAAACAATGGGTACCTAATTTGTTCAGGGAAGGTAAGACGGCGAGAGGAGAGGACTGGGCACCGCCACTCATATGCCACGCCCAAGACACAGTGGACCTCTAACATCCCACATACGGCCAGTAATGGCTATGGGACCTTTACCTTTACCTTACCTGCAAAAAGTATACCTTTATGCCACGAAAGCAACGAACCACATCAACGGAATAACTCATTTTCTCTCTCTGTATTATTTTTTCACCTCAGACGTCTTTCGTGTTGTGCCGCAGAGGACGTACAGCACCCAAAGATACCGACGAGGGGCAACTCAGCCAGGCCGCGGTGCGGTACCGACAGTGGGCCAAACGCATCGACCAAGGCATGCGGGTCGCCGTGCCGTCGTTTCTCGTGGTGTTCGTGGCCGCGTATGTCTCAACGTACATCTATTGGAATGGGGACGAATGTGCGCAATAGTTTAGGGCAATTAATGAGCTTCGCTAAAAAAAATTATCAATCAATTTTTTCTTAACTTTCGAGAGAGTGATAACTATAAACCTATAGACTATCGCGGTAGAATCGCGTCAACGCAACCAATGCATTGTCCAACCACATGATACAAATGGATGCGCGTGCGGAACAAACGCAAAATCTGAGACAAACACGTACAAAATTCCATGGGGTTGTCTAAGGGGCGTGGCTTACTTGCAAACGGCGATAGGTCAATTGTATTAGTGTAATAAAACAGTGATATTAATTGATAAAACATTTAGAATTCAGCTGAACACTTTAACCTATGTACTGCGGTACTTCTATGGCGTATGATATAAAAAGCTAATGAATAAATAATAAATGAATAACTGAAGTAAATGAATACATTTAGGAAAAAAAAGTTATCTGTTGAGAAATCTCACCACATGTTCCTTGTTTTGAAGATTAAAAGCACGAGAGACTTTGACAACATGTTGGTAACAGTGACCTCGATCATGGAAAGAATGGTAGTATCCAGACGCACCTTCAGAGGCTATGGATAATTGATTGCATTTTCGAAGTATTTTCCAACAAAATTGGAAATGTTTCTCAGTCCCAGCTTCATCATGTATTTTAAACATGTTTGCAATTAAATACTGACCTGAGATAAGGATGAAAAAAGTGGCGTCATGATGCAATATTCTTTACGACCGTTGTTATTATGTAATAAAGTGGATAATCACATGACGTTAATATTTTTAAACATTATTCGATGAATCCAGAGGGCCAGTACGTACACTCCATACAACCATATTCTCTGTTGCCCTCAAGCGTTCATCATTTGTTGAAAACGGTCCTCGATCGTGCGTTTGTGTGCTTAGTCTATGGGAGAGTTTAATAGTACAGGGACAAATGGAAACACAATGCCTTGTCCTCGAGAGTTATGTAAAGTACGACTTTGTGCGTATGTCCTCCATCTTTGTAATGTACAAAAACCATCTCAAACGCCACAGGCCGATCGATTTTGCATAAACATGCATTAACAACACGTACAAAAAACATCTCAAACTTGAACGCCACAGGTCGATGAGCCTGAACATGCATATAAACCATGTACAACCACTATCTCAAGGCGCCACAGGTCGATGCACTCATGCAGATTTATTCCGCGGCCAGTGCCAAACACAGGTCGACTTATTCGTTTTAACTCCACAGAAATACATGAAAAAGATTCAAGAACAATAAACCACTGAAGAAGGACCGGGTCCGAACGCTTGAGAATTATTTTGGTAAGCACTACTTTGCCGGAAATTTTCTATACCTCCATATACTTGCATGAAATATTGATAATAATTTATGCACTTAATTCAGACGTAACTAATAATACAAATTAAAGCACGATAAATTTGGCAAAAAGGACACGTAAAACATTCCAAAATTGAAATCAGCCTGTACATAATAAAGAAAAACACACAACAAACTTTTTTATAACGAAACACTTCCAGGCTAAATTATCAACGCCAAGCCAGTGAATGACTTGATCAAGTCTAAACCAGCCTCGCACGGCGCCCTCGTGTGGTACGAAACCCATTTTCCTTCGGATCTTTCTGCTGATGCAGCGTTCGACCTGTGGCGTTTGAGTTAAATATCGACCGGTACGGTCTTTACAAAAAAAACTCTTGAATGCCGGTAGACTCTTGGGGCACTCTATCCGCGTGAGGCGCCCCAAGTTATTTAGGTTTTCAAAGGCGCTTTTGACAGGACCAGCGTATGGAATTCCATCTCTGCCAAGTTACACGGCGCATGTTTGGGATTTTTGCTTGGATCTCCCAAACATGCGCCGTGTAACTTGGCAGAGATGGAATTCCATGCCAGCGGGCCGCGGTTCATACGTTTTGTTGTGTGTATCCACTTTTACAAAACATTACAATGTGGACCACATTTCCATCTTTGTGCGTGTGGAATGTACAATTATCCAATTCATGTCAATTTGCAATGGCCATATGATTATTTTATGCCAATTGCAAGGAATGGTGGTGCAGCCCTGCTGATGCGACGGTCGGCTCGTTTACATCTTTTCCAGAAGCACGTGGCAGGCGCTCTCAAATTTCTTACCCGCCGCTTCGGTGTAAATACAACACCTTTGGCCGTATCCGCGTAGGAAGGAAATCATGAAGATGTCAGAAATGTTGAGAGACAAGATGGAGACGCAGGCTTCCGATCTTCAGTTTCCTCAAGCTTCACTTCACAACTCCGAAATTTCCAAAATCATGGTCTTCATGCAGTTGGGTAAATATCAACATTTTTTTTTATGGCAATGCTCTCTGACGACCGGGAAAAAAAGTACTAGTACTAAGCCTATAGTTGCAACAACCGTCACTGCGCGCCCTTTCCTATGTGCTCTAGTGGGGCGGACTCTATATGCATTTTTGGGTACGCTCTCTCCCAACACATATAGCCTAGGCGGTACTTCAACAAGTTCAAAACCATTTAATGCCATTTTGTCTGACCCTTTTAGGGGCGGGTCATGACGCTAAAAAGTGGGGGGCTGCGCCGGCAAAAGAACAATTCCGATAATTTTACCTTTTCTTTTCTGCATTTGGCCAGCTCACCCATAGAGCTGCTCACCCAAGTGAAAATAAAATAATTCAAGAATTTCGCCATTGCTGGGAGTTGGCCATATTTTTAAACATTAAGGGACAAATGGCGTAAACAAACAAAAAATCGGCTGCAACAGGCAATAGTTTTTTTTTCAATCCAATAGGCCTATAGCTGGGCAATTTCCAAAGGTTGGCATTATACACTTCAGTCATTGTTCTGCATCCCACTTTTACGGAGATTGTTCATTATGAGGCCGTTGAAAGAAACAGCGTTGATGCGAAATCAAATCCCTTTTGCTATAATGGCCTGGAATTACAACATTCAAAGCATTTTGCGTCTGTTAGGGGATTTCAAATTCCTGCTCTTAATAGTGGCCGTTTCTGTGTTATCCTCTTGGTTGGAAATCCTCTCAAATATTTCCTTGTTCGTATTTTACCCATATAATCCGAGAGCCCATTGAGGTCTCTCACAAAAGGTTTAATGGTGTCATACCTGTGCGTCTGGGAGGGGACGCCGCCTAATTTTTTTTTTATGTCTAAGTTCATTAGAACGATCATTCCAACACCAAACAGTCATGAATGAGTCTGCTTTTGCAGAATTTCAACTTACGAATAAAAAATCCAGTGCAAAATTCACTTAAGAACGGCAAGTTAATTGCCGATTTCTGCACGGCTTAAAAAGTATTACGCAATGCACACCAAAGCATCGCTACCCACGTACTGCATTGCAAAACCACTGCAATGTAACGTAGTGTAATATACGATATTATGCATTAATATTATGCCGGCCCAAATATTCGAAATAGTCATGATTTTGCGAATTAGGCAATAATGCAACCTATTACGCTTAATTATGAAATAAATGTCCGCGGTAATATGGCCCAGTTAGTCAATTCTCATTGTATTTAGATTTTTTGACGATGTATCAAAGCCTACCTGATACATAAATGGACTGTAAGGCCAAAAAAAAAAATAAGTCGGTCTCTGGTCAGCGCGCGCGTCGATTTTAATCATGCGCGTCGATCTTTTTTTTTCCAAAATGTTCCGCGGTAGCTCCAACAGCGCCCTCTATGCCGCACCTCCTCAGTTTTTTTTTACCATAGAGCACCAAGGAATGGGAAATTGCACCAAGGCAAACGATCAAAAGCACCAAGGCAAATTATGGAGGACACCAATGTACATGAGGACACCAAAAAAAGCAAAATAGTACCCACCTTGTCTGTACAATCCCTTGACGAAAAAAAAAAAAAGCAAAAAAAAAAAAAAAAGCCGCGTGGCCGCGTCAATTCCGGAACTTTGGTCTGACCAGAGACCGAATGTTTTTTTTTTTTGGCCTAAAGCAGACTCAATCATGGCGGAGCCTGAATTATTAAAGAGAGATACATTACGAAGAAGGCGTTTGATGCGAGTCCTTTTCGGCATAAAAAAGGATGATACAAAATGGCCGGGATCGATGATTTTCCCCTTTAAAAACTGCTATTGAATTGGACACACCAAAGAAGCGCTGTTCTAAACGGGCATGTTTTTCCACTCATCCGGAAAACATAGATCCCAACTAACGGAAGTCATACGCATGTTTAATTAAAGTAACACATTTTTTTTTACAGCTGTCCATGGAGTGTTAAACTTTTCCAACCAAAGGCGCACAGTTTCTTAAAAAAGAAAGTAAAAAAAACCCCACCGCAATATTTCATATATTATCAGATCAATACATTCATGTGTATAATGGTTCATATAGGGCCTATAGAGTGATTCTTGATTCAAGACATTCTTTGATTTTGATCGAAATAGACCATGGGGCTGTTATGAATGTGTACTTTCAAGTGGAGGAAGGGGAAAACCTATATATGTATAATTATTTGTTTAAAAATTAAATGATTGCTACAAAAAAAGTACTTATGAGGCCTATACATAATTATGCATAAATCGGAACCTCTACAATACCGTGAGATCAGGAAGTGGGAGTGTTTCTGGGGGTTTAGAAGAATTTGAAAAAGAATGAATAATTCACAAATAATGCGTTGTAATTCCAAAACTGTGTAACACTCTGTTATTTTACAGTACATGTGTACGGTGCGTGTTTATTTTTAAAATTACTGTCATGGTATTTCGCGATTCTTGGGGGCTGTTTTGCAAACTGATACGTATGCCTCAATGCTATTACGTCATTTCACAAAAAAAGAGTTAAGCCCGGTTCATACTCTGCGCGAAAGCGAAAGCGAACGCGACTTGTGACGTCGTGGCAAGTATTCGCGCTGCGAATTCGTAAAAGTTGAACATATTTCAACTCGGGCGAATTTCGCAGCGAATGTTTTATGACGTCGAATTCGCTTTGCATTCGCTTTCGCATGAAGTATGAACCGGGCTTTACGGTTTGGCATTATTTCGCGGTAAATAAAGCCGTTCGCAGATTTTGCACGAGTTTTTTATTCTTAACTTGACATTCTGCAAACGCTGACTCGTACACTACCGTTTGGTGTTGGAATAATCGTTGTGCTCAATGTTTAAACACATAAAACAAAAAGCACATTAGAAGGCGGCTAATTATTGAACTTTAACTCGTTCTTAAGCACAAAATGCACGGTAAAAGCTATTCTTAAGTTGTGGATCTTGCATTATAGTCACAAGCAGGTTATAGTGAAGGTTTCGCTTTTGTGCTCAAAAGTTTAATTAACAGTAAATAATTAGTGCTAATTAGGCCATTCTTAAACATGGATGCACACGGGATTTCTCATCCTCAAGTTATTGGTTATTGATAAATTATTCGAAAACTATCTTTTCGCTTTGGAACCGTGCTTGTGCG